AACTATTTCCTATAGTGTTTTTGTTTGGGTGGTCAAGTCTGTGGTTCGTTCCTCTATTCACACCACAGTCCCACAATCCTTACAGATTGTTGTCACTCAGCTAACAGATGTCTCACAATTAGAACCAATAATGTGAATATAAAAAATATCACGAATAGGTTGAAATTTTCTTATCTTCCTATTGATGATGACAACTTGAGACATGTTAGGATTTCATCTTGATAGTTTAGCATCTGCTAACGTTTTGCTTTCGGATCTTGTTCTTTATGTAACATGCGTGTTGTTCATGTCTCCAGTGATTATCCACGATTGTCTAAGTTATTCAGTTTATGAGAGATAAACTACTGCAGAACAATTTTTTTGTTGTTGTACTTAATCATTCTGACATGAACAGCTGCACTGGTAACAGTCATTATCTGTTGGTAAAAAGGTGTGTTGAAGTGATTATCCAGAAGAATTAGCCTACTTTGTCCATACACCTATAGTCTAGTTTGCTGCGGAGGAAGGGGCGTGTCAGGCACGATGAGTTGGGCGCGTTCCAAACTCATTCTCCAGTGGCAGACAAGACTATCATATCGTTCGTATCACTCTTATCTACCGATTATTGTCGCTTACTCATCACTTCAACAACTGGTAGAAACCTGCTCTGGCGCCGTAGCACACTCATACCGCTTGACACGCCTCTTCTTCCGCAGCGAATCAGAGTACACTGGAGTATGAGCGGTGCACTCTATGAATGAAGGGTTTTACCCGAAGTGATGAGTAACGTTCATCTAGAAGAAACAGTGACATGAGTGCATTGCGAAGCACACATCGTGGAGAACGGGCTCAGCATGTGGGAGATGGGGACACAATGCAAACTGCCCCTACTTTGGGAAGTGGTAACCTGCACGATGTGGTTCGACTTCCTGCTGGAGAAGACATCAATGAGTGGCTCGCTGTCAACAGTCAGTTCTTCTTTATATGAAATACAGTAGACTTAGCTACACATCATATCCCAGAACTGGGGAGGGTGTGACTGCGTTTGCATTACTTCTTTTGGACGGTTGCCGTTTTGATGGTGTTTCTTTTGTTTTGGGACAGTTGCAATTATGCAATTGTTCAGCACAAGACAGCATGACAAATGTTTCAAATGGCTACGTCATGCTTAGGTGATATTCGTCGCCACGCCCTCTCCATTTCTGCGATATGAAGTGTACCTGTGCTCGTTATTTCTGTTTCCTTACCAATATTTGCAAAGACTGAGAAAGTAAATTTGGTTTTTCTCAAAAGTAGGTATTGCGCGGTATTCGCTCAGCATTTGTTACTAATTTCTTGAGTTCCATATTTTCCAGATAATAACACTACCGATTCTTGAAATTATTTTAGGTCTATTACGGCTGCGAAACGCTGTGCATAGCACAAGAATGCTGAGTTGTGGGCAAAAGTCGTGCCCCAGGCGGGAGTCGAACCCGCAAAGTCGAGGCAAAAGTCGTGTTGCCGTGATATCTAACGTGATAACATCCAGAACGCGTACTGCGTCAGCGCTCCGAATGTTCTCACGCAGAAAATACGTGCTGCGTACGATTTTTGCTGTTTTACGTGCTGGCATAAAACAGCAGTTATCATGAACAAAACAGCTTCAAAAACTTGTAAAGCCTTCGGCCTGCGATGCGCGATTCCATGCCGATATCAAACGATTACGGCTGACCGGCTCACCAAGTTAAACGTTGTGAAAGCCGCCCTGGTGGCGTAAAACGGATAGCGCACTCGCCCGGAAAGCGTGAGGTGCGGGTTCGACTCCCGCCTGGGGCACGACTTTTGCCCACAACTCAGCATTCTTGTGATAACATTCGGAACGCGTACTGCGGCGTTAAACAGCAGTTATCATAACAAAACAGCTTCAAAAGGCTGTGCATTGTGTCTGACCTGATTCCTACAAGATAAATGTCCTAATAGTTTTTAATACCGTCATGCGAAGGTGACAAGTCTGTTCTGAAATGCATTCGAAGAAGAACTGTCTGAATACCCAGTACTGTTACCGCTGTTATAGTTATGGACGTTTTCAACCAAGTTCGCATGTTATACGGTACCATTACGGATCAGTGTACTAACGAAAGTTGCCCACAGATGAATGCAGGACCAGCGTATGAATATTTCTGGACGGAAAATGACAGAATGTAAGTTTTCAATAATAAGTCCCACCCGAGTTGAATGATGGGATCCCGGTGAAATATAGTGTAGTTCACTGCGGACGGTTGGGCGTGTCAGGCGGGATGAGTTTGGCGCGGTGCCAAACCCGTTCTCCACCAGTTGTTAAAGCGAGCAAATGATATGACTGTATCATATCGTTCGTATTACTCGTTTTCTACCACTTTTTGTCGCATGCGCGCTTCAACAAGAAGGCAGAGAACGGCTTTGACGGTGTGACACTCATACTGCCTGACATGCCCAACCGTCCACAGCGAACTGGAGTGTAATACATTGGGTTGTATAATTTTGCATGAGGGTTTTTCGAGCGCTCAGCTTCGTTTGCATATCATTCCTTCGAACTTTCTGTGTTGAAATGCACCTGCTAGGAAATCGGTGCAACGCCCGATGGAACTTTGATTATCCAGCTGAATCAATGGAGTTTGGAGTGCTGGTTACGGAGATTTAAGCGCGAATAAGCAATTAGACTTGTTGAAACCGTTGAAAATTGCCCCCTGGGAGCTTGTATCTCCCGTGGTTGTCACGCGTTTTAGCGCCAAGCGAATGTATATTCGTGCTGAAAGTGTGGAACTGACCACGGGTACAGGTTTTGAACCTAACCGACCTTTAGAATTCGCCACGGTCATGGCGAATCATTATTCCAGACATTGTCTGCTCATAGCTTGCTTTCTAGAGATAGGTACCAGTTCTAGTTCACTTATTTGTATTCCCGTTCGATTGCTTACACCAAAAAAAACCCAGCCTAATAAACTAGCGCCACTAATGTTTCTGGAGTTCTGGTAGTTTCCCGTAATGCAACAGGTTTGCTTTGCCTTAGCTTTCCTGCCTTCTTTGGCAGTATCCTGACGATCCTGCGGCTTTGCATACGGCCATCTCGTTTTCTTCTTCTAAACTGTCATCCTCTTCCATTCGGAATTTGTCCTTAATTATGGCCCATTCGAAACTGGTGGTGGGTACATCGACGGGGTACATCGACGAGACCCATGCCTAGCTTTGAGAGTTTAGCTCAGCTTTCATTTGCAAAGCATGTAGACGGTTAGGTGCGTTTTGAGCATTGCGGTCCTTCTCCTTTCTTCCGACATTCATGTTTGGTAACCTTCTTAGGCAAGGGACAGCCGCAGTCTTCTTCGTTTGACTTATTGTTCTATACAACCCATAGTCCTGTGCAGCTGGTATCGCTGCAATCAGTCGGGGCGCTGTCAAGAGGCATGGAATGAGCTCATCCGCGGTGTTTTCACCAGTGGTCGCGCCCCTCCTAAATCGATCACTAGCCGATCACTGTTGGTAGAAGAGGGAGCAGGACATTTCGCCTTTCCCAACATCGCCCCGACTGATCATCTTATGAACTAGACGTCCTGGAACAACGACAGTAAGGTGGGTTTCTTGAGCTGAATGAATATCGTCCCTTTACAGGACATATGCGTAGTCAAATGAGATTACAAGCATTCTTTTTTGAACCACACAATCGTGTACATGTAGGGGTATATGCCACAGCTAGGAGAAGAGAAGGCTATACTGGCGAAATAAAAGAAAAAAAAGGAAGCCAATACGAGACCCCGCTTATTTGCAATTAGGTTAGAATCCTCCCTCACAACTTTCATCGTGACGAACGCAACAGAAAGCAGTAGGTCTTATTCAACAAGAGCAAAGTGTTGCCTCTCTCATAAGCGACTTATGCTCACATTCTCCATCCAGATCCAGTAGGGGTGTCTCTGCGTATTTCATTTCAGATTGACGGCTGTTTTTAGTGGGGTATTGTCATTCTGAGACATCATCCCTTTGTCCAGTACAAAACAAGGTAACGACTGGCTAAAATGGAGAATATCTCTACAGAAACACCATCTAAGCCATGTAAAGCGAAGTGTAATGCAATGTCCTGCATCTCCGATATGTAATGTTGCGATATTGTTCGTAATAATAATAATGGGGATAATGGGGCGTGTTTGGTGCGTTGATAACTTGTTCGTACTAGTTGTTAAAATGGATAGGCGACAGCCGTTGGTGGAAAAAGATTTATGCGGACCATATGACGCAGTCTTGTCGCTTGCTTGATCCAACAACTGGTAGACAACAGGTTTGGTGCCGCGCCTAACCCATCATTTCTGACACTTTCTATCATCCGCGGCGAACGAGACTGTAGATATGGAGTGTAATAGTTCGTGCATGTCGCATCGTTCATAGTGAGAACATGATTAGATCTCAGCTGAATTTTCTTTACCCTGAGAACCTGTTTCTCTACGGAAGCCCATTACGTGTGCGGTCTTGTTAGCTGCGTAGGCGCCAGTGAGAACTCCACGATCTGTTGTAGCAGGGCAACCGACAACGATTGGTGGAAAATAGGCTGGCGCCGCGCCAAACCCACCCCTGGCACGCCTCAGCGTCAACAGCCAACAAGAGCTGAAGCCATATGACACATCAATCTAAGGGAAAAGCAATTTCGGATTAGTTTCCTGCAGGCATCTTGCCAATAACCGCTACTGTAGGTGCGGCTGCCCATGCGGCACCGCGGCCTCTGCATATCAATCCCTTCGCTTCATATTTTACTTCGCAAATGAAGCGATACGAGCACCAGCATCGGTCGGACATTTGTGGGCGGCGGGCGCGGTGGGCGTCCGGGTCGGTATGTGGCAGCTTGGTAGGGCCTTTTGAGGGTAACCTTCTTGGGAAAGGCACCATGCAACGCCTGCTCAGGGACGCTTAGTTCCGTCCTGCTAGGCCTATTAATCCTACTCGTCTTAGAGATTTATCGTGCTAACTGCCTTTATGTTTCCAGAATCCCCGCATCTGCTCCGGTGTACATCGACTATGTCATGACTTGGATACAGGACCAACTCGATGATGAGAACGTTTTCCCATCCCAAGTCGGTAGGTTGTCGCTTTAATATCACAGAACTATCGAACTGTTGGAAGATAATCCCCGTTCGTTCAGGCCGCTCGTTTCCTCGCAATTATATTGGAAGTATGTGAAGGAATAATGCGACGTCTATTTCGCATATACGCTCACGTCTATGCAGCACATTCTGCACGTTTTGCCGAATTGAACGCAACCCCTCACTTGAACACTTCATTCAAACAGTTCATACTTTTTGCTCGACAGTTCCAGCTTATCCCAACTCGGGAACTAGAACCTTTGCGCACGAAGATTGATGAGTTGATTGGAACGTTCTGAACAATGCTAGTGATTCAATATATGTTTTTTGCCTCACCAACGAGTTATCACATATCACTTTCATGTAATGTTCTATTGTGCTCACATTTGGTTTCAAATGTCTGTCTGGATCTTATTTTCCCACATTTTCATGTATTTTGACCATTGTTACCGCACAGTTGTCCCACTCTGTCATTATTTTACTATCCTCCCAAGAGTGCTGAGTTATGGGCGAATGTCAGACCCCACACGGGATTCTAACCCGTCTCCCGCATACCGGGTGGTTGCGTTATCCACTGCTCTTCCTTTGCTCATAATACTATTCTGTGATAACATTGTGGTAATGATTTGCAGCCTTCTTGAAATTATATTTTTAACTTTTAATAAATAGCCTTACTATTATAGATACACTGTCGATTGCATAACAAGGTTGGCCTCGGTCCGTGAGCTAACATTCAGCGCGTTACGTCCCACGGCTCTTGCCGGCGACCCTCTTTTGTCTGCTCTTTTTTGGATAGTCTCAAAAGCACTTTGTCCAAGAAAATGATCAACTTTCCAACATGCTCACGTTTATCAGATGGTACTGACTGATGTCGACATGTTCAACTCATATCCCGGAGATGAAGTGGGCGTGACCACGTGCTTCATCTGAATATTGTGGCGATTGTGCTCATAAAGGGACATTTTTGGGACAATTCGTACATTTATCTACTATGCACGCAAGGGTGCGCTACAAAGTGCTCGAAACTGGTTGGACAACGAAAACATCCAAGCGAATAAAAATAAAGACAACGACAAATTTAGGCAAATACACATTAGCAGGAAACTCTTCACACCTCAGTATTTCAGAAATCCTCAATTCCTAGTAAAGCGAGTAGGTCAACTTCCTTCAATTTTTTTGAACACGTTGATATTTGGCGCCTTTTGTAGGACTGGTGGCAGTGACTGCAGCCATCTGGCTCCACGGAAAAATAGTGAGTTAAATATTTTAGATCGATGGCTATTGCTCAGTTTCGGGCATTGTAGGGATAGCGAGGAGGAACGGCCCCTACTTGGCCGGAATATCCAGTACTTACTAGGCTTCAATCTTAACTCTCCTTTGAGTAACTTGAAGCAGAACAAAATGTCATTAAACACCCTTCTATATAGTAATGACTTCAGGTTGAAAAGCTGTAAACGTTCTCTATAGCTAGGTAAACCACGTGGATATAACGGGCTGGGATAACATCGGTACATTAGAATTCTGGTGAACGTTTGTTGAACTTTTTCAACTTTTGCCTGAAGTTGGTGTAAGGATTCCAAATCTGAGAGCCGTACTTCAAGTATGGGTATGACATATGCTTTATAGAGCTTCAGCAAAGTTAGAGAATCATTTGTTCGAACATTTCTGAGTATTGCGAAAAGAGTAGTGAAGGCCTTACGAACAACAGCATTAATATGATGTGTGAAATCCAAATCAGAATTAACAAGAAAGCCGAGGTCACGAACTTCTCTTGAAGTACCAAGGGAATACCATCGATTATGTACGGTACAACTCTAGCTGCTCCTATATGAAGTACAGATGTCTTCGTGAAATTTATAGGTATTCCCCAAGCAGTAGCCCACTCCATCATGTTGCATACGGATTGGGTTAATGCTTGTTGCACGCAGTCATAATTATCATTATTATAAACACCATACACCTTAATGTCGTCAGCATATATTTTGGTTCTCACTAATGGGTGAGCACTGAATTAAGCGACAGATCAGAGGTGTACGCCAGAAACAGTAGAGGTGACAACACACCACCTTGTGGAACTCCACTACAGCAAAGGATACTTCGCGAGAAACTATTACCCACTTTGACACACAGGTGCCTATCTTTCAGGTAGGAACAGATCGATCCACACAACTTATGGAGGAGTTTTTCATGATTCACTTTATCAAAAGCTTTGGACAAGTCAAAATGGATTATGTCCACGCCTTTTCCTTCGTTGATAGCGAGGTTCCCCCAAAAGAGTAGTTGTAGGAGCACCAGCATACCCTTATTCCCACAGGAATGTGGGAATAAGGTTATGCTTCGTTAAATGAGATACAATTTTATCACGTAATATCTTTTCCAGAGCTTTAGCAGGCGGAGCAGTTATACTTATGGGGCGGAAAGAAGAAACTAGCTTCGGTTCTGTAGTCTTAGGAATGGCTGTAACGATAGATTCTTTCCAACTCAGACCTCACAGAACATAAGAGACAACGTTGAGTATCATATAGATAGATCTGCATAAAGAGAGGGCACATTTTTTGTATACAATCTGCGGAATTCCATCGTAAGGAAGAGAAGTAGAGCATTTGAGTGATCTCAACGTTTTATATACAACTTCTTTAGTTACTACACATTCACTAAGGGTATTCAAGCATTCTCGAGCTCCGGAACCTACACTAGAAATGTTTCCACTGTCAGTGGAGAAGACAGACGAAAAGAATTGTGCGAGCGCTTCAGCTTTTTGACCATCAGATAAGAAACGATTGCCTTTTTCATCAAGAAGTACAGGTATACTTGAATGGGATTTAATCTTAGATTTTACCAATGCAAACATAGCGTTCTTGTTAAGTCTATTGCTGAAACGTCTTTCCTTATTTC